TATCTTATGAGTATTTATTTCATCAATCACATGTCCCAGTTATTCAAAAAATTGAAATGACTGAATTGGAGTTTTCCAATGTCAGTTACTTGATTTCTCAGGCACATGGTGTTTTCATCTTAGTATATTTAACCTAATTGCATGTTAGCAACTTATTAAATAGATGTTGTTCACAAATTGAAGCCTGTCTCATGTTATACAACTGCGTAGATAATGCTCTTCTCATGTATCCAGAGATTTCGTTGATAATTAGTACACAAAACTGTTTACCAAAAATATCTTTATTCTAAATAATGTATTATTACTGAAAATCATTTAATGTTACAGATATGATAAATATAAGATTCAGATGAAGCACTTGTAGCGTGTTCATAGTTAACCTCAACTCGACACCACGCTACACACCCTTGAGCTTTCTGCAAAATAGGGTGACTGATGGGTAGTAATCTGTTGTACTCCTTTTGTAAATCTTGAATCGCTTTGGTTGAAGTTACGTCGAAAATCTTTTTGACTGACGTTTTGTACGTCCGTATCAAGCTATAATAGAGTACTTTGTCAACAAAATTCATATTAATTTCGATCTTATTCATTACTGAATCTTGTATTAACTCAGAGAAAATGGTTGTATAACTATTTTAAGTATCCTCTTATAGTAGAGCGAGGTGAACTTACATCAGCAATTTGGTTGCTGGACAATGGTCCTAGTGTTAATATACCTCATGTGGACTTTTTATTTATATGAGATATGGTTACATCATTCACAGATCATGGAGAAATAATTTGCTTCAGAAAAATAATTTTTCGCACCGGGTGGATGTTAGTCTGACAATGACAAAGAAATTCCAATCCACGAGTTAATTGTTGACGACTGAAAACAGCAAGTTTAACAGTCAAATCAGGTATTTTTAGGTTTTTTCTGTAACTACTTATTTAGCACAAAATAACCTACTTCCTCATTGGTTAAAGCTTTATTGATTATATTTATATTTTATCAGAATGAACATTGAATCGAGCAAACAAAAAGCGAAAATAAGGTTAAAATCATTTCAAAAATCGATCGAGGATACTGACAAATAGCATTCTTTGATTTTACTTAGACACATAGTACGCAAAGTTTGTTATGTACTGATATCAACTTGTTTTTGAAATAAATTGGTGTACGTTAAATTTTAATCTACATAAACCCCCAGAATAAATAGGTGGTAGTCCTATTGACATTCAACACCTGTTAGCAAACCTCGTTAATTTACTGAAGAGAACTAGCTAAAGGCAAACATTAAGAACTTATGCTATTCAATACTTCTCGTGCTGCTTGCACATTTCACCTAAGCAACAAGCCATCTCGCTCTCGGCAACTTTTCGGCTGGAAAAATATTATCACCACATCTAAGTCTATATTTTTGCCGCCTATAACTACCTAGGGATTGGACGACAAAAACTAGTCTCCAAAACTTCCTGCTAAGTAACTGTTTAGTTGTTCTTCAAGAAGTAGAAATGGGATCTCTGAAACGCTGTGTCATCATGTCGTTTACCTGTAAACAACCAGACCATTAGGGTAAATATTTAACACAAATTTGTTTGGAAAGGCAAGTCGATTGGATTGATCTCAAAATGTAATTAGGTAGAGAGTGTGCAGCAAGTAACTGTAAACTATCACACCAATGCAGTGTACAACACTGATTCTTAGCTGGATGCCTTTAAATTTAACTAGTGGTAGGCATTAAATGCTTAATTACAACAAAACCACGGTTTTATTAACATGTTACAGACGTTGGTCTCCATCACCATGATACCGATTTGATGATGTATGGAGTTGTATTAGACCTACCCTCACTAAAAATATGTCCATAAGACAATCGCGAAATTGTCACAACTTAAGCTGCAGATGCTACTACATCTTGTTATATTTATCGAATAAATGGGGAGCCTATTAGTAAACAAAAGCCAGTGAAATCTTTAAATGCAAGTTTTATATCTGTTGACCTAATAAGCACCAATAATACTACTCACATTTGCTCATTTTTCATGGAAAACACTAATAATAACTTTAAGACTTAAACCTTGTACGAGTATACATACAACCGACATCACAATTGATTGATCACTGGATGGTGATCAATGTCATGCGTGTCTAGTCCTTATTAGTGCAGACCGAATTCTATCGATCATGTTGCAATGTGGCCACCAATCTAGGTGACTTGACACTGCGGGCACTATATATTGAGATTTAGATGGTGGTTGGAGGTAGTCAACAGGAAACCCTGGACCCGGGTTTCGTGCTACTTGGCACTCGTCAGCGACATGACCGATAGAATTCGGTCTGCACTAATAAGGACTATACAGGCATGACATTGATCGCCATCCAGTGATCAATCAATTGTGATTACATCTCAGTCCTACAGGAGGTCAGTCGCGGCTCGGATAGCTCAGTGGTAACGTCTCTGACTGTGAAGCTAGGTGACACGAGTTCAAATCCGCCAGGGAGCACCAGTTCCCTCTAGATTACAAGTACACCTTGCTGACGAGTGCCAAGTAGCACGAAACCCGGGTCCAGGGTTTCCTGTTGACTACCTCCAACCACCAACTAAATCTCAATATATAGTGCCCACAGTGTCGAGTCACCCAGACTGGTGGCCACATTGCAACATGATCGATAGCATTCGATCTGCGCTAATAAGTACTAGACAAGCATGACGTTGATCACCACCCGGTGATCAATCAATTGTGACTCATCATTTATTTCAACACATAGATATTGGTATAAAGAGGCATCAAATACATATGCACCACACAAATCTCATTCGATATGTGTGAGGGCTGTGATACTGCCCGGGTGCCCAAACCGAGACAGGTGGTTTTCTTAGGGGGCCACGCCCCGAGCCTTCGACCTGAAGGTCTGATCCACAAGGCAGTGGAGCATCGTGAGGAGATACAGTCCCATGGTAGCCGGTGACCAAAAATTTGTTCATACACCATCTGTTCCCGCAGGATACTGGTGCCCATGTGCACCATTGGTTTGGGATCCGGTTAAAGCGCCGGACATTCACTTTTCGTCCTCTCATTTTCGTAAACAACACCCCCACCACGAGAAGGCAGTGAGTAGGACTTCTCTGGCAGAGGCTATATACGCGTGGCCATGTGAGAGCATTTCAAGAGGGAGAGTGGACTCTCCCCACTCTCGGCCGTACCAGGGCATTTGGGCACACTAATATACATCCAAGTAGTCAATATATGCGCAGCCGCTTGATTCATATGCAGTTACCAGCAGTCATCTTGTCCTAATTACAGACTCCTATGGCAGTAAGTACCCTTTGCTCTATCTGACAGGTCATTAGTTTATAAGTGATGATCGATTAATAAGTCGAGTGTTCATGATTTTACCGAAGAGAAATGATGAGCCTGAGTTTCACATTGTAATAAGTAAACGTTATATTGTTAGTCCTATGGAAACATCCCTTCATTGTGGTCTGCTTTCATCTATATTTATGTTGACATTAGTCTAGATAATTTGCATCAGCCGGAAGATTTTCTGCCAGAATTGTTGTACTCATCATACAGTGAAGTAGAAGGCCTATAAGTAAGTTATTAAAAATACATGCAGCAATGGTTAGTCTAGAAGACCACACGGCTGAATTTAGACTTCTAATGGTTTTTACAGTGGGACACTACAGTTTTCTGTTATTTCAAACATTTCAACCAAAGTAGGATCTAGATATGGGCATCAGGACAAGATGATACTCCAAATCAGAAGTTAGGTGAAGTTGAAAAGAAGAGAAAGGGGTTGAAATGCTTGAAACACTAATCATAGAAAGAGACTAACCATTGGAAAATATGGCCTGTGAATGAATGAATTGAAAGTATGGAATGGTACTCAAGCCAAAAATCTAAGAAAAGATAAAGAATGGATGGGTTCTGAATCATCCTGCAAACCTCAATATCGGAGATAATACATATATTCTGAAATTTAGAATTACCTATGGACGGATTGCGGGAAGAATAATGCGGTTTCCAAGGACGATAAACATACTTCAGTGTGGTAAATTCAGGTGGTACTAAATGACGAAATAATTTAATTAAAAAAGATTACGGTAATAAATTGTCCCCTGAAAATACTGAACTTCAAAACTCAACATATCAAAATATTACTTTCCGTGTAAGTGAACATCCGACAATTAGAACACCAAAAAGGGGCCCTTACATATAATTCGGTCGTTTCGTTCTAGTCTTTACATGTTAATTGTTCGGCATACTTATCGGAAATATCTTATCTTGACAAAATACAGTAATGATAGTCAAATTATATATGTAGATTACGAGTAAATGAATATACCGTGAGATTTTAAATAGCTACCCTTTATACCGAAACTCTTGACAATAAGACAGTTAGTGCCCTGGAATGCTTGACGTGAATACCAGTTCACTGTGATTACTAGAACATTCAGAGATGAAAATCATATAGCATCAGCTTATAGTGACTTCTGTCTAAAGTAGTGTCATGTTTCTAAAATTCGAAGTATCAACGTATTCGTTCCCCATTACAGTTCAAGACATTTCAGCAAATTAAGTTGATCTTTATTACAGTTTTACCTACTCGTTCTGTTCGTTAAATTCGAAGGAACATTTGTTGATCAGAATCCTAACAGTAAATAGTTAATGTGATACATCATTATATAAGGTGAGAACAGTAGTTTTTTACTCATCTTCTATCGAATGGATGTGTTAAACAAAACAGTGACACCAGACTTTCCGACATAGCTGTGGTTCATAATTATTCCGTGGTCCCTTTCCATATTAGCTTGTCAAACCAAGTCATTTGGACCAAACAACGTCCAGAATAAATCGTGAGGAATGGACTATCCCGACATGTTTGTAAAATAAATTCTCGTAATTAAATCCTAAGTGACTTTGATATGCGACAAGAATGATTACATAGCATTATATTAAATATATCAGTTAGCGATAAACTATTGAATGGATCACAAGAATAATGTCATTGAAGTTCACTCAGAGTCCGAAGATGATTCAGACTCATTTGCGCTTGAGTCTTCCGACTCCGTTGTGTTCTCCTTTCTAATCTCCATAGACTTTTCTGCAGGCTGCTCTGAGTGACTTGATGATGAGTCACTGTCAGATTTCACTTCTGAATTCTTGGCTTTAGAACCAACAGATGTTTTTCGAGAATCTGGTGGAGAGGGCTTTGGTGAACTGCCGTTCGAGTCTGTTTTCGACTTCTTGGCCTCAGATTCTCCAGATGAAGAGCTTTCAGAATCCTTTCGAGCACTAGAAACTGAATGTTTTGATGAATCACTATCCGACTCTGTCTTGGATTTTTTGGCTTCGGATTCACCAGACGAGTCTTCCGAACTTTCATCAGAGTCCTTCGAAGGCTTTGCTTTGCCCTCAACATCCTTGACTGACGAGGGGTTTATTTTTTCTTCTTCCTCATTCCCTGAATCTTCATCTTCAGAAGTTTTTCTCTGGTGTTCTGTGGAACTGTCTTCATTTGCACCAACTTCCTCCTCAAGACATTCATCTGAAGGCTTTTCTTTCTCTTTTTGATCTTCGTTCTTCTCTTCTTCATCAGCTTCACTCTTTTCTTCCTCGTTAGAAATATCAGACTTATCTTCATTGCCCGAAGACTCCTAGTAAAGTCAACTGATTACTATTAAACACACTACCTTGTTCTTCTCTTCGTCCTCCTCCTCACTCTCGGCCTGGAAATGAACGTCACAAATTGAGTCTGAGTACATTTTCAACAGGTTTAATTCATGCAGCACATGCAAAATAAGGCTAAACAATCATGCGAGAAGACCTAAGGCGCAACCGGTACCTCACTGGCGCTGCTACCCATCAATGCTGAGAACGGCTTCTGAAGGTAAATCGTAATAGATAATTGAAGATCTTACAGGTTTTTCTCCAGGTAATTTTAAAAAAGATTCCAGTTCTTCCATTTCCAAGGCCTCGTAAAATTCCTCATAGCCCTTGAAAGATGAAAGTAAGCAAAATACTAACTCCAAGATATTCCTCATCAAGGAAAATATGTGGTGGAACCAAAGGTTTATCCTTTTTCTTCAGCTCCTCAAATAATGAACATTTCTCAGGTTCGTTGGAAACGTCAGAGAGGTCAACTTCCTTAAAGTCAACCTTTTTGGCATTAAGCAGTGACAGAATGAGTGCCTGTTCTTTTTTGACCTGCATCATAGCTAGTTAAAAGTAACGATTCCAACCTTAAGGTTTCCAGAAAGAGTGCTGATATAAACCTTTAGAACCATTGAAGTAACGCAAAACAGAATTTTCCGCTGATCCAATGTCCTATTAATAAGCTCAAATGATTCAAATGGTTGTAGACGGAATAGAAGAAGCTTTCGCTCAACAGGCTTCTGTGTCTAGTAGCAGGGGATCACCAAATCCTCCAGGCAGGAACCTAGGTATGTTAACAATAAACGAGGAAAAGAAATTAGTAAATCATAGTGTGATATTATCCTTAGTCCTTAAGAATAGATCAAGTTGCCTCTTAAAGGACTCCTGGAAAGTCGCTTGGACTAGCTCGCCCGGCAGCGAATTCCGGAATTTGACAACTCTTAAGGAGTAGAAGTTGTGTCTACAGTCCGTTCTGCTATGTTGTGTCTCCAGCTTTTGGGTGTTACCTCTTAGGTTAGTGTTGGAACTAAGCTTAAGTAAGTGTTCGAGAGGATGTCAAGAAGTGTTAAGGATACTATAAACCATCAGAAGGTCACCCCTTAGACGTCTATACTCTAATGGGTAAAGGTTAAGTGAATGAAGGCGCTCTTTGTAAGGTTTAAATTTGAGTCCTAGATCCGATTTTGTGGCTCGCCGTTGGATACGCTCCAGGGTGTCCTTATCCTTTTGGAGTGAGGGGGAAATACTATGTTTCCGTACTCTAAATGGGACGAATAAAACTAATGAAGATTATATGGAAAGTTCTTCCGTCAAACTGGCCAAAAATGCGCTTCAATGTTACCAGTGCAAGGCTTGGTCGCAGGGGATTTTTGTCACAGTTAGTGTAAGACTTTAAATCGTAGAGCACCAAAACTCCTAAATCTTTTTTGACTTGGGATACTACTAGAGAGGAGTTACCTAAGTTATAACTGTAGTCTGCGACATGTCGCAGATGGACTACTTTACACTTTGAAGTGTTGAAGGTAAGTCCATTATCGTCCGCCCAACTTTGAAGTCGAGTCAGATCCTCCTGAAGTGCCTGTATATCGTTTTGGTTGAGTATCACTCTCCAAAGTTTCACGTCGTCGGCAAGAAGTAATAAGTCTGACGTTACCTGTTGAGGAAGATCATTTATGTAGATCAATAAGAGAAGAGGCCCTAGTACTGAGCCCCAGGGGATCCAACTAGGACATTCCATACCCTGAGATAAAGTGAAATTTACACTGACCTTAAACTGTCGATGTTTCAGGTGTGAAGTGAGCCAATCGATTAGAGCTGATCTGATACCCAATCGTTTGAGCTTGTTGATAAGACATGTATGGTTAACCTTATCATAAGGTTTTTAGAAATCTAGGTAGATGATATCAACCTTCCTCTTGTGATCAAGGATGCTTGTCCATCTGTCCGCCGCAGTCAACAGGTTGGTAATACAAGATTAACCCTTCCTGAAAACGTGTTGTTGGGGTGAGAAGAAATTTAAGGACAGTAAATAGTCATTTATACCATCGCATATCAGGGACCCCATGATTTTTGAAGGTATTGAGATAAGAGCCACCTGTCGGTAACCTTAAGGTTCACTTCGCCGACCTCCCTTGAAAATTGGTGCGATGTGAGCCAGCCTCCAATTTTCCGGTAGTTTGCCTCGGCTTAGCGAGTGTGAGAACATCACGCTAAGCGGCGTTGCCAGGATTGAGGCTGCTTCCCTCAGTATGGCGGAATGGACCATGTTCGGGCCAGGAGAAGTGTCTAATCTTAAGCTACTTCAAACCTATCCAAATAAATACTCTCGAATCTTCCCTCTTTATAATATTTCGGTATCTGAAGAAATGCTTATTAAGGTTACACTAGTTGCTCAGTTTCAATCGTCTTCGTGTCACTGAAGATTAGTGCACCTGCCGCAAAATGTTGGCGTGTAGCGGTAAATAAATAGCTCTGTAAGTATTCGACATTGTATGCTGACCAGATTAGTTCCAGTGGACTCATCTGGCTGAAGGCTCTCGGTCATGCATCCGCACCAGATCACGTATGGGAATGCCGTGCTCGACTGCTACTGCAATCGCTTACCAGATTAGATCAGATAATTACGATATATTGGCAATCGTCAAATACAACTTCTGATCTCCTCGATTCTGTCTTTTGATTTCTCTTGGTGAGTACGAGTTATATTAGAAGGTGTTACTGGTAAAGGCGTTGTCAAACACTGAATACCTGTGCCATCTTCAAGCGTAGGCCATGCAGAACAAAGCACCCAAAGCATCGTAACTCGAAAGCATTTATGCTGACCTGGTTAGTATTACTAGGTTCATGCTAGCTGAAGGTGCTTAGTCACACATCCGTATCAAATAAAGTTTCCGCACATCGTGATAAGCATCCTTTACGACGACTATGTAGCTTACATCAAATATTACCCGAAGAATTGTTCAGCTCCCAAATATATCCTTTATTGTGATGAATGGGTTTTTGACCCTGTCATGCAGTTTGATTTCTCTGTTCTTTTCCAAGTTTTGATCTTGTAGGGGCCTCATCAATGACATGCAGCTGAACATAATTCTACAAGAGAGTTTGTAGTGGCATTGGACAATAGCCACACAATCCACGAAGCTGTGAACACGAGACTACTCAGAAAATAGATATTCAATATTTAACGCGGAGAAATACCTAAACAATGGAGAAGGCGCGGACAAGGAATTGAATGGACTGGAGTTGATCGAGTGGCATGGCTCGGCCATGCAGGCGTGGTCTCTATTCATAATAAATATATTGTTCTTTCTCTAACCTAACCTTGTTCTTCATCATGTATTGGTAATTGATACGATACAGTGAGTTGGCGTAGTCGATGGTGTGACTTCCACGTAAGATCTTATAGATTAGGCAGTTATATCATGACGAATCTACAAATTTAGGATTAGGTCTATTATTAGAGCAGTACTAATATCATAGTAGATCATAATTCCACATTGGTGAGCCCAACTAAAGAAACGCAACCTATTATTATTAATCCTTATTACCACTTCAACTTTCTCGATCGATTTTATATTTATGTTAACCCTGTATTCCAATAGTCCTCTGATTAATACTCACATGCATTATCGTAATGTTATATTGATTAGTCCTCATGACAAACTAGCTCAATCGATAATAAAAACTGGTAGTCTATATTAACTAATTAGCTTTGATGATTTGTTAACAAGCTGTAATAGCATTTACATGCTTCAGCGACATAGTCTTGTTTAAACATCAAGCTCTAGCAAATATGACCTGTAAATAGCGTAAATATACATTGACTAACAATGCGATCAAGGACTAAATAGTTATCTGGATCTAATTCTCAGTGTTCCTTCACTTAACACCTCATCCTGTTTTAAACGATGCACTATCCTGTAATATCTTTTCTTCCGACCACTGCCTGCCTAATTTCATATTCACGAGTTCCATTGCCAAACAACGAGGATGACTACTCCAAAAACATACGGTGAGTTCCAGCTATAAGTTTTCTGCAATCATAAGTTCATTTTAGATGGCATACACAATTATCTGGATTCATTCAATTGTTCTGATCAGAGCGAGTCCCAAAGACCTCAACAGCATCAAGCACCCTGGAAGTGATTGCCATACTGTATGTTTTATTCTGGATGCTTTTGGATCATTACTACTCCTCACGAATGGCGTTATATATGTCGTCCACTGAATAATCTAATTTTCAAAAATAATCCAGGCGAGTTCAACTATTTTACTGGATGATTTTTTTTACTTAACATGTATATGTTTTCCGGTTCCTTTTGCTATATATTTGTAAGTGTCCCTAGGCTAAATGCAGTAACTTCTTATGGAATGTTTATAACGCATCATATTCCTGCCTGAAGTTTCACAAGCAGTCTAAACTTTAAAACTATCTTCTGGTCATGTTCATTATTTTTAAATCGTCATATACGTCAACAACCTCCATGTTAACCTGGCCCATACATACGTTACACTATATCTCCATATCTTTCGAATTTAGAAATCATCTGAATCGCCTTTAACATTTATCAATAAACCCATCATAGTCGTTGTTGCTAATCGTATTTGGGTTTATGGATTGGTTTGTCATATTAGCAGCCTAAAATGCGAACATAGTTTAGATAATGAGATTAAAAATTTAGGTACTATCAACTGCACTAGTAAAATAACTAGATCCCTAGGTAGCTGTTGGCTAAACAAACGTTTAAAATCAAAACTCTGTAGCCTACTAGAATTAACACTAAACGAATCTTTCTGAATTAAAATTTATAATTAAATTACGCGTCTCAGATTCTTCAACGTTACGAATTTCTGATAATCTCGAATCACAACAATACCTATTTTTCCACTGACTAATCCTCATTCAACACTATAACTAGTTAAACATAATAGTTTCAGGATATCGTCATAAAGCATTGTCATGACTTGACAATCACGTAATATGATTGATAAAATTAATGAAACTATTAACAAAATCGGTCAGCAAATTGACTTATAATTATCACTAGTGTTGTTTTTTTCTTTTATCTTCATTCACTTCAGATGATTACAGTATGTTTCTCTATCAGTTGCTTATTCAGTAAATATCTCAAAACCTTGTCAGTCTCATTGGAGGTTTAGCGACACAATCATGCATGCAAATAATCAGTATAAGCAGTCGAGCAAATCTCCTGCAAACTGAAAACATCAATGTCGAATTTACCCCAACACTGACTAAGGTTCAAGCCATTATCATAGACATGAGTTGGGAGTGTACTCCCCTTGGGTACAACTTGTGTTCTTCCTGATAATCACATGAGCATCTCTCACTGTTAATCATCTTGTAAAAGCTTATTTAGCCGAATACATCCTGCAGCACCACATCACCTAGTAATATGACACATAGGCCTAACTGATTTAAATAACTTATAACCGCTATATCTCAATTATATCGTGTTCCGCCTTACGATAAACTGCATACTTGCAACTAACTTGTATGTCCAATCAGCCGGCAAGTATAAATACAAGTAAATAGTCTGCCA